AAATGATGTTTGTATAAGTTGAAATGAGTATGTTATTTCAGCTACATTCCCATTGAAAGGCACCATAACTAACCTGCCAAGGTTGGACTTTCAGCAAATTCCACTTCTCTCCATTTTCCGCTGTCTTCTGTCTGGCTCTGGATGAATCCATGGCATTGAGAGCATGTGCCACAGCATGCACAGCATTGCAAATAGCATAGCTCTGGCCAGACATTTGCATTTCAAAGACTGTCCCAGGGAGGCTCCCCAAATCCTCTTCCCCAGTGCAGATTCCTTTGCCTGGCACATTTATATTATACATTGGAAGTGAACAGATAAATGCAGTACACCAGAACTGATGTATGAAATACATCTTAGAGCGATTTGGATTTAGACTCTCAAGGAACTCCTGAAATCCTGGTACCTCATTTGTGTGAAGAGCAAAGGATAAGCTGCCATTGAACGAAAGTCCTGTGAATTTATGAGCTTCAAAGACAGAAGTGACATCCCACAGAGCTGATATGATCCAAACCCTCTCTATTGGAACCTTGCTATTAATTTCATAACTTTCAAGAATGATTCGTAAACCATCCATAGACTGCATGTCTCCATAAACAAGTATTACATTGCTTTTACTGAACCATAAGGTGGCTGCAATCTTATTGAGTTGCTTCTGCTGGAAGGTATTGGAGACATAGTTTATCACTATTGGGATGAACTGAATCAGTGAAATGCAAATATCATTCTGGATAAGCTTTGGTCTCAGAATTCGGAAAAATCTCTCTCCAGTGACATCATCTGGGATGAAGAGGCCTATCCAATTCCATCCAAAATATTTCAACAGCTGAATAATCCCACCATACTGGAGATTTTCATTTGGAGTCATCCAGATTAAAGATGGAAACTGAGTTTTATAACTTAGTGCAGGGTCAAAAGAGCTGTAACTGAGCTGTGGGATGGGAGAAATAGCAATGGTTTACAGACTAGATAAAGTATTTTCATTTTTTTTAAGAATATTCCCCCTGCAAGCCACAAAATATGTCATTTTATAGTATTATCCTGTGAAAAAAAATTATAACTCTGCTGTTTAGTCTCCTGTGAAATATCATATAGGAGTGACTAAGAATCAGAGTGAACCTATTAACCAAAGATATAGAGGGTAATGCAGAACCACTGTCTGCTCAACTGATTGGGTTACATAGCTCTGGCCCTCTATCTCTGGATGCACAAGTCTCTAAGAAGCTCTAGTTATGACAACATTGCTACAGCCAAACCAAAAAGAGGACAAAACCCCCCAATAGTTGGTACTGCTTCCATAAAACAAAGAAGAGGAGGAGATACTGTGTTGTGGATCAACAAGTCCATCCTCACATCAATGCTGACTTTTGCAGTCACTCCACCATTGGCGTTCCAGTCACCACTTTGTGGACAAGGTTACAGGAACAGGGTCTTTCAGGTATTGATTGGTCTGACTAGAGAGTCAAAAGACAGGTAGGATTGAATGACAAGAGAAGACTTTTGTTCATTAAGAAGATGACGAAGAGAATTGATTGTATATTCCTTCAGTCAAAAACACAAGACTTGAATTGTCATTTTGCATCATATGGGTTAGAGTATCTGTTGCTTTAATAAATAAAATTTAATGGTATTGGCAATATTGAGGTAATGTTACTTATTTTTACATATGATACATTTTTGTACCCATTATGGATTACCCTGCTTGTAAGTAGATTTTGTAACATATACCTTGGATTTCGCTTGAACAAAGGACCTATCCAAAACACCTCAAAGAATGTCTAAATATTTCAGGTGCTTTTGGGATTATCTTCCTTATTCTACCTATACAGTTACTGAGCCACCACCCTTTTATCTCCTATGAATGAATATGAACCCAGATACCTGTGGAATCTTGTAGGCATTTATGATGTTGGCCATTTGGATGGAGTTCTGGAAGTTGAGGTCACCAACAGCAGCCATGAGCTTCTGATCCTTTACAGAGTTATAATTGGGCAGACAGTTTTGTCCCATGAAGAGGAGGGTCAAAAGGTTCCCACAAGCTTTCAATGGATTAAAAGCATTCTCATAGATTTGGGAGCCCAAAGTAGTATTTGGTAACAAGTTCTCATTCACGTTGATCTCGTGAATGGCAAAAAGAAAGACCAGGACATGCTGGTAATTTTTAGGCAATAGCCTGCAAGAAGGGTTTTGTTTAGTCCTTCAATCATAGAATATGACAAGCATTTGTATACTATACAGAAGGAAGCCTTTGTTGATTTGGTAGCATACAGATGTGATAAACAAACAAACAAACATTTTTTCATAGTTTTCTGCAGAAGCCTGACAAATGATCTGGCTGCTCTAATGAGTAGTAGAGAGGTGTTGCACTTGCACAACTTCTGAAGTACTACTTCTAATTTTCAAAGTGTAGAGGGAGGTATGGAATGAGGATGATTCTGGATTTAAAATTACAATTCATTCAACAAAATGATTCCTATTTGTTGACAAGAGGTGTTGTTGTTGTCGCATATATCTCTGCTACCCAAATATTTTTCTTTTAAAAAAAAATCTAAGTGAACCTTCGCATGAAGTAAAACAACATATTGCCTCTTCTTACGGTCTTGAGTGAACATGGATATTCTTGAGTCAGTATTTAGAATGCTCAAAACTCTGATTCACTCATGCCACTAAACTTGAGTTTGGTAGACCGCTGGACACTTGGTAACCAATAGTGGGGACAGACCTTTTGTGACAAGATTAGCAATGCTTGTAAAAGTCTTATTGAGGTCCTATGTCAGCTGGGGACCTTTTCAATTTCTCAGTCATTGATAACCAAGAGAGAGTTCTGAAACAAGAGCCACTTCTGAACTATAAAGCAATTGAAACCAGTTCCACTTGAACACAATCACAGTCAACCAGAGTTGCAATCCAGACCATTTATTCTTTCAGAGGACTACTTACCATGCTGTCTGAGATTCTGATGGCTTTTGCATAAAGTTGTGTAAAGGCACTTTGAGAAATACCATGGACACAAATTCAGCAATGACAATATCACTAGAGGAGGCAGGAGAATGATGCTGAACCCCTGGCTTGCTACCACACATGGAGTTAAGGGTCTTGCTGAAAGGCGTCTGAGGCAGGATAAGGAGGGAAAGCAGAAACATCCAGCCTTTGAAAGTCAAAGCAATTTGTCCCCAGTCATAGCAGCACAACCACATCGTCATCACCACACTGCTCAGCCAGATTTAGGAATAGAAAGCCAATTGTGGGACAAGGGCAAACTCTTCCCAATGGAAGAGATGGAACCTGGCCTCTGGAAAAATTACGCAGAGTGTTAGCTGCCTTTCCACATTGGTAACTGATATAGTGCTATGTGACTGTTTTTCTTATTTTGCTTGGTCTCCTAGCTTCTGGGGTTCCACAGGAAGCAAGTTCAATTATAGTGATTTTTATAATGAGAAGGTAGATAATTATCCTACCCAAAGCTGTCCAAGTCATTTCCCATAAAGAGAAATTGTATGGTCCTAACATAGCCTTTGTCTGCTCTTCTTCAGAGAAATACATTGATTCCTTTAGGAGCATAAAGCACATTGAGAGTTGAGAGTTCATTTCCCAATCCCAAGAAAAATAACTTAGTTTTTTAAAAAAGTGTTAGACTGATAGCTAGTATGACCAGATAACTTTCCCTCTCTCATCATAGAATTGAAATGAATTGAATTAAATCTCCAAATACAGAGAACTCTCTCTTCTTGCCCCTGCTTTGCGGGTACATCCTTTTATTAACTTATATACACTATACACTTTTTAAAAGGCAAGTATTATTGTTATTGATGAATGTACAAAGCCATGTGAAATACAGAAGGCAACAAGACAGGGTTGTCCCCTGTCACTTTTTTATTTTAGTTTTGGAAGTGTTAAATAGAGATATTAATGCGAATATTAAGGTTTTACAAATCAAAAAAGAAGTCTTTAAATTAAGAGTCTCTGTGGATTATTTAGTTTTGATCTTACATGAACCTCAAAATGGAATTGAATGTTTAATGAAGAAATTGAAAGATTTTGGTGTACTTGCTGGATTTAAAGTAAATAGACAAAAAAGAAAGATGTTGGTTAAGAATATGACTATGAAATATCAAGAAATATTGATGAAGAAATCTGGCTATAAAACTGAAAAAGGGTTAAGTATTTGGGAGTTACACTGACCAATATGAATTATATGTTACATCAAAATAATTATGTTAAAGTCTGGAATGATATTAAAAAGTATCTATTAAGATGGGGTAAGCTGCAACTGTCATTATTAGGTAGAATCTCAGTAATTAAAATGAATGTTTTACCTAGAATGCTTTTTCTTTTTCAGACAATACCGATATTGACAGATAATGTATCATTTAAACAATGCCAGAAAGGTATTCCTAAATTTGTGTGGCAAGGTAAAAAACCAAGAATAACTTTTACAGGATGCCAAAGAAAAAGGTGGGCTAGATCTTCCAGATTTAAAGTTATACTTTGATGCCTGTTGTCTCTTATGGATGAAAGAATGGATGACTTCACAAAACAAGAGGTTCTTGGAATTAGAAGGACATGAGTTACAATTTGGATGGCATGGATACTTATGGTATGACAAAGTGAAAGCTAACATTGATTTTAAGTATCACTTTATCAGACGTTCTATATTGAGAATTTGGAATGGATATAAGGTAAGATTGTCTCCAAAAATTCCTCTAGGGTTATCACCTTGAGAAGCTCTCTATAGAAGAGAAATGACAATTAAGCAACCATGGTTGAGTATGCAACTCTCTTATCATTTTCCAAAGGACAACCTAACCTGAAGAGGAGAGAAGAATTAGAATTGGAAGGTTTTATTTGCCAATGGTCTACATATGCACAGATGCTGGAAAGTTTTAAACTAGATAAGAAAAGCTATGAATTCATCACTGAGAAAACTGAGTTTGAATATGCACTGTGTACTAATGATGAACATCTTATT